CGTTTGATTGCCTAGTCTGTAAGATCTTACGTGAAAATCGCATCACTATCTACACTGACCCATCGTATCGCGACAAATAACAATACTTAGTACTTCTGAAGAACACATTTATGCTTGGGATAGAATAATATATTTAATGTGAATATAAATAAGTTAAACATAATGAGCGCGTCTGCAACACTGACTCATGCCATTCGATTGAATGAATATCTCCACGTTCACCACTTCCGACCTTCTCCAAGTGTTACATCCTTTTAGTTATTATATGCTTGATTCCGGAGACCATGTGATTAGGAAACAATGCCACTCCAATTATTCATCCGAATATACTGATCGTAAATAGGACTGCAGGAAGAGAAATGTTTGAGAAATGGCAGTCTTACCTAATTATTGATTTTTAGGTGATAATTGGGCGAGACTAAAGAACATGGACGACCTTTGAACGAATCTTAAATGACCTTGAGAAATATTAGCCAATCAGAAGACAGGTATCATACAGTGAAAATATATTATACAAAACTCAAAAATTAAAGGGGATTTTGTTCTTTTACATGAATCAAAAACTTATCAAGGTCAGATATAGGTTCAGAAGTTATAAAATCATAGTGCATACGGCATAGGAGCTCATCCTTGTGGCTCTATAGTAGTCGACCTCTGGAACCATGATAAAGTCCCGAAAATTCTTTCAGCCTCGACCACATAGTTTTAGTGTTGTCGGTATGTTGGTATGGTTTAGGATTTAGGATTAGGGTTAAGGTTTAGGGTTACGGTTTAAGGTTAAAGATGAGACTATAAATTATGGACGGTATTTGAGCGACGCTAGAGTGAATCTGAGAGTGTCAATGTAACAACTAAGACTAAATGAGGGTTATAAACCCGTGTGAAGAATTCAAATTATGATTTACAGTTCATAGTTAAGGTTAGGAATTATACTTAGGGTTTTCATCACGAACTGACATCAGTTATAATGCCACAACTCTATCCAAATGTATAATTCAATTTTGCGCCAAAATCTTATGATAACTTATCTTGTAGACGCTTAATTATCATGTTTTCTCTAAAATCCGTTCTAAATCGACCGTACGTAAGCGTCAGGTACCGAACTTAGCGCTGTGACCTTGAAAACCCGCGAAAGCTTCTGATTGGCTCGTCCATGTACTTTAGTCTCGCCGATAATTGTCTACTTTTTTCTCCACCACCATGGCGAAGTGTTCACCATATTTTTCAACTATCTGTTGTTTATGAACTTTCTGGCTTCTTTGGATTCGTATATACTCTTCATTCCGTCTGGGTAATGATGTTGTATTATAATGGAAGTTATGCGTGCTATTTAACTTCCATCGGCTGCATGGTCTAAGTATGTGATGAGCTAATTAGTTTATTTCGTAGTTGATTAAGCTTACCTGTAAGAGTTGGTCTTTTTACATATGTCAGTATTATATGACGTCAGGGATATCGACAAGCCATAAATGTTCGACAATTACACTCGCAAGTGCCTGCATCTAGTTCATAACACCACAAAACTGTATTTAAATCGCACGTCCTTTAGCAGTTTACTTTCGCCGTGAATGTTATGTGTACGGGTGGTCTGAAAAGGGATGGAATTATGCATCCATACTTTTTGGAACTCCTTAAACACACCATGGAATTCAATCCAGTTTCCAAAACGCCTGCTCAGTATTATGCGTTGAAACGCCTCACTTAAGTCGACCGAAATGTTTCTGGAACATAAATTACCACAAACATTACTCGTTAATTACTGAAAGAACAGCCATTTCATGCGATAATACTCCAGTAACTGAAGAAAGGACTACAAGCATTTAGGAATTACGGGTTACTCGTCATGTCGTCTTAATTCTTGCAGAAAACAAGGATTCACACAAATTCATAGTATCTTTAACTGATAATTTATAATGAATACGCAGTTTTGCGGACCCCAACGAATTTTAAAAAAGGAGAGTGAGGTTCAGTAGGGTAATCGGTATCCCAAGTCAAGTTACGTAGCAACAAAAGAGCCAAATTGTACACTACAAAACACAGTAAGCACAATAAACGCTTTTGGCATTGATTTTGTGAATTTGCTACAGCCAAAAAAGACGCGAATACAAGAAAACCTGATATTCGTGCAACCCAGAGGACAACCAACCGACCCACAACAAATCAAATACGGAATGACCGCCTCGTGTCAGGCCGTTCAAGGTCGCAAAAAGGAAACGGCGGGCAGGTTTGAAAACGCACTGACTTATTTACCTTGCCTTCACTACTTCTCTGGTTTCTTCTATCAATAGCACGAGGGTTACCTTTAGGCACGAAAATACCACAGGTAGAGTTTGAAAACGTTTTAACCAGTAACACCTCCTACTATGAACTGTACCCACCAAGTGAAATCAAAAGGCAGAAGTGAGGAGGTTCGAAGATATATTTGGTAGGTTATCAATATGTCGTGGTTCGACCGGTCTAATCTAGTTAGCGGTTACAGGGAATGTTGAGCATGGCGTTCTCTCTCGTGGTCTGGTACGGATGCATGACCGAGCGCCTTCAGTTAGGTGAATCCATTAAAACTAATGTGGTCAGCATCCAATGTTGAACACTTACAGAGCTACACAATGCAAACTCCTTCAAGTGAAATTCACAAGTTATGAAGTCAGAAATAGACTGAAATCAGAGCTTCAAGCAAAAAATGGGCTCTTGAATCATTTATATATGATTCATCCCCTAATTATGGAAGTGGTGAACATGAGTGTTGGTAGTTGTTTATAAAATGTAGTTTGAAGCAATAGAGCGTTAAACTATATATTAATATCACACAACTTGCTAATATACAGTTGTAAACTGTTCTATCCATTATAGATATCATCGTTTTCGACTGGACTGACATAATATTATGTAATGTGTCTGAGAGAGAAAAATCATATAACTAACAATTGACATTGATAGCCTTTTCTGCCCACTATCTGAACATTTACAGGAATCGTGTATAACATTACTGTAAGTGCCAAATAAATTATTCAAATATTCTTCATAAGTAAAGCGATGCATGTTTGTTTTGAAGATGTTATCTGAAAAATATCGTAGTTAATATTAGTTTTTGATGTGTCTGTTATAGGGTTAACGACTGAATTTCTGTTAACAGAATCCGAAATCACTAACCAAATTATGAAGAAAGTTTCAGTGCATGTTGACTAGTAATATCTAAATAGTGCTTACCAGTTATTTCATTATTGTGTGTAAACAATGAATTGCCTTTGGTATCATGAAAGTTGTAATTGAATTTTTCTCGTATTTCGTATTAATAGTTAAAGTTTTTGAATCCGTTTATTTGGTGCCTGAAGTTTCTTTGTTAATACCAAATGTTGTTTTTCAGAATTGCATGAAGCTGAGGTCTTCATACGTTTCCTGGTATGCAATCTATGGCTTCTGTCAACTAACTGAAAGGCTCAAACCTTTCTAATAATCAAGTCTACGCCGGCGATCAACTTAGCAAATTTTTGAATATGGTAGATTATGTGGAGAAACAATTTAAAAGTTGACGATAACTGTGTTTTATCTTGACTACCTTTACGTTTATTCATATAATGAATTATCTAAAGATAAACATAATAACTGTACAGGTTTTTGCATTATAAATCACGTTAGTATGTATAATTAGTCTATTTCGGTACTAATACACCTAATCCGAAAACATTGCATTTGTCGTATGTTTGTCTAATCTGTAAGATCTTACGTAGAAGTCGTATCACTATCTACACTGACTTATCGTATCGTGACAATTACCAATGATACTTAGTACTTCTGAAGAACAGATTTGTTCTAGGGATAGGACAATATTTTTAGTGTGAATAATAATAGGTTACACATAATAGCCGCATCCGCAAGGCTGAGCCATGTCATCTGATGGAATGAATGTCTCCACATACTCCACTGCCGACCTCCAAGTGTAACATGTCGAATGTACATCTTTTTAGTCATTATGTGTTTGACTTCGAGGACCATGTGGTCAGGAAACAATTCCACTAAAAGTATTCATCCAGATATATTGTCATTGTGAAGAAACTTATGTATACAACGCAACATTTTGGTGAAACGTTGAAACTGATGCTGTACTACAGGTTTTCGCAGCGAAGCGGGTACTTATTAAGCGAACACTTAGTAGTTTTTTGATTTCCACAAAGAGTTGCTCGTTATGATTGTCGGTATATCTCTCCGGGAAACCGCGAAGGAGACGAAAACAAAAATTAGGGAAAAGTTTATTGATGTATTGATGCATGTATTTACAGAAACCTCAACATCTGATGCACAAAAATCAGTTTAGAATTTGGATATATAATTAGGTTAAAAATACTGCTACAAAGAACTTCCTACAGTAAAAGTTCTTGTCACGTCGCCACACTTTGTTGTATTCCGATCCATATTTTCCATCGTAAAGAGTAGTACACAAGGGCAAGCGTTAGAGAAACCACAGTCTTACCCACTCATTGATGATTCTTAACTAAAAAGTGGCTTCGTTGATTCTGTACATATGTTTGCTTCGTCTTGGTAGTGAAATTGCTGTTATTATGGAAAGTGTAAGTGTTGTCTATCTTCCATCGACTGAAATGTCTGAGAATATGATGAAATATACAGTTTACATTCCATAAATGATCGAGCTTACGTGTAAAAGTTCGTCTTATATAATGCCAGAAGCGTATGGCGGCAAAGACACCAGAATGTCACAATTTATCCACCATCCAGGTTAAATCTGCTCGACATTCTTTTTGCTCCCACAGAGACAGAACAGGACGCCCTTCGGCCAAAATTTTTCCCAAAATGGGGAGAGTGAGTAGTTACGACCATCGGTCCAATATGTTCACTAAAAGACAGAGAGAGCTAAATGTTCTTCGCAATGAATTTGTGGTTTTGATGCAGTAAAAGACCACTTAAGTACGAGAAAACCTGATATTTGTGCAACCCAACGGACACCTGACAAACCTTCGGCAATTGAAATACGAAATGACCGCCTTGAAACGGAACGGCGGGCGACTTTGAGAAGATTCGACTTTTTTTACCGTGCCTGTTGTTGCCAGGACTTCCGTTGTATGGGGTAAGATTTATACTCATAATTTGAACGCTACTTCACTCCTTATTTAAATTTCTAGGCCTTACATGACTTATCTATTGCCAGTTCTTTGAAAATAATAAATTCATTTATTGGTATTGTCCTAGCTTTGTTACCATTATATTCGATCTGGTGTGTATTTGTGCCTACTTTCTCGTTGACGTCTTCAAACTACATGTGGTTTAAACCTTATTTCCTAACTACCGTGCTTATCATTCAACAATTCAGTGTGGAAGAGAATATCTCAAACCTTATCTTGTTAGTTCCAGACTAACAAACTTACTAAAGTCGATACGTATAGATTGTGCTTGTATTCAACTGTAATTACAGTCATTTCTGCCGCAAAAGTCGTCGAGGAATAGTTTCGTAATTGCCACTCGATATATCATTGTGGACAGGAAAACACTTGTTTTCAACATTGCCAAATATTTAACTTTTCCTCAGTCTAGTGCTAGTTGGTATTATAGTTTATCTTCTGTATTGTTTGGCTCATTAGCATTTGCTTTATCAGGGTATTCAGCATACAAATTACAGCTATGTTCACTAAAAGTATTAGAACTTTTTCGATCAATGCTTTAGAAAGCTTTTCGATCTAGATAGTCCTGCGTAATAAGGTTACCACTATCTAATATCATGTAGAATGTTTGTAAATTTTATTTTTCAACTTGCCTAAACATTTGCTATCACTAGGCACTGTTATTTCACATAGTAAGCTTCCGTGAGAAAGGTAACCATTTTGTGGAGTCCAACTTGATTTGTTGTTAACATCCACCTATTTCTGCTTCCACATTTTCCTCTTTCTAAGATCTCTTCAGCCAGACGAGTTTAATTGTGGTGATTATAACCCGTCAATTAAGTACCATTTCAATTAAGTTGTCCACGAGTTCATATAGAATCTCCTATCAGTCATTCTTTTATAAACAACGTAAAACCTGCCTCAGCCATGCATCGGTTCAAGTTTTCATGCTGTATTAGCACAGCAAAATGAACTTGTCGAGACAAATGTTAGAGTATTACAGCCGGTAGTGAACGTGTATCTATTGAATGAGTGAGGTTTTTAGTTTAGGTTAGGAACGATGTGCTTAAGCAAATTTTTTGGATGGCTTTCAAGTTACAACAGTAAATTTATCGTTTTAATTTCTGCTTTTGAATGTATAGGGTGATGCTGTGGGTGATATAATCAATCATAATGATCCTGTGTTTCTGATGATTTGTTTAAAGTTTTTGAATACGTGTCCAAAATCCCCTTGTTTGATTACGTCAAATGTTCCAATAGTAATCAGACGTGATACCCTCAGTTTTGGTCCTACGTTTATCAGAAAATCACAATCTTACAAGGAAAGAAGACTGCTAGGGTCAGTTCCACAGCTGTTTTTTAAATAAGTTGATTATGTAGATAGAGACAATGGATATTTTTGAAATTAATTACATTCTATAAAGTCATTCCACAGTGTATATTGCAGTCATAGTAGATATTTATGGTCATACGTTTTTCGTCCAATAACGTAATGTGTGCGACATATTGACGCTGGTTGCTTTTTGAGTCTGGTTAGGATTGCTATTATCTGAAATACACTGGTCACCTCAAGTGGATTGACTGGGAAATCGATTTCTAAAAAACCAGATATCCCTTGCATCAACAGACGAAATAACCTAGAAATATTAAAGACATGTGTATATTGATGTTATTTGACCTTAGGTGTTTTTAGAGCATTTTTCACTGACAGTAGAATCCCTTAGTGGATATCAATGTATAGAAACACATTTCAAACAACTCTAGATTGAAACTTTGGCGTTGTAACTACACAACTTATCTGTGACTAGCTTCTGTTCCTATGTCTTTTATCAAATAATTGCAGACTAACTTTCGTCATTTGCTGTTACATTTTGCTTGTTTATTCGGGCATGTTAAAAGTCAATTTTTGTTGCTGGGCCATTAATTTGATTGCGTGTAACATAAACGAATAGTTAATTGCTGCAAAATTATTTATTTATTTATACACATAAATAGTACAAGATACATATGCACCGCACAAATCTCATTCGATTTGTGTGAGGGCTGTGAAACTGCCCAGGTGCCCAAACTGAAGCAAGTGGTTTTTTAGGGGGCCACACTCGGAGCCTTCGACCTAAAGATCTGGTCTACAAGGTAGTGGATCATCGTGAGGAGATGCAGTACCATGGTAGCCGGTGACTAATAATTGGTTCATACGCCGTTTGTTCCTTCCGGATACTGTAGCCCATGTGCACCATTGATTTGCAATCAGGGTTTTTCTACTGCTCTGCATGAACTCTTGGTGTTCACCAACCCGGTTAAAGCGCCGGACATTCGCTTTTCATCCCCTCAGTTTCGTAAACAACACGCCAGTCACGAGAAGGCAGTGAGTAGAACTTCCCTGACAGTGGCTGTATGCGCGTGACCATGCAAGAGCATTTCGAGAGGGATAGCTAACTCTCCAAAATTTCGGCCGTACCAGGGTATTTGCGGGCTTGCTGTACAACCACTCAGTTTTGACCTTTTCTCATGTAAATATACCAAAAATCTAAGATAGTCTTTTTACTTTGTTCGGCCTTGAGTGTTTTCCAGTAAGTCCAACAGCCAGTTATTTGGTAATATGAACTCTCTTTATCGTGTCAGGTGTCTAAGAAGTGTCACGCGTGCTTAGTCATGTATATTGGCGATAGGTGTTGAAAGGTAGTCGCAAGGAAACTTACCGACGTAATACGCTCAATTTCAATCCACTTAGACTACTGACTACGTTGCAAAATGATCGATAGAATTGAGTGAGCATTAGCGACTAGGGAAAGTACATTAGTTACTGTTGTCATCAGTCACCATGTGTATATATTATTGGGTGAAGCTATGTTAGTTCTCTGCCCCCAAATGCCTTAGTACGACCGAGATTTGGGAGAGTTAGCTCTCCCTCTCGAAATGCTCTCACATGGCCGCACGTATATGGCCCCTGCCAGGGAAGTCCTACTCACTGCTTTCTCATGACTGGCGTGTTGTTTGCGAAATCGAGAGGATGAAAAGCAAATGTCCGGCGCTTTACCCGGGTTGTTGGACACAGAAATTTCACCTAGGTGAGTTGGAAGACCCTGATTGCAAACCAGTGGTGCACATGGGCTTTATGACTCTGATTTTTTATTTTATTTTATTTAAACAAATATTGGTACCATATATATATATATATATATATATATATATATATATATATATATATATATATGCGCCTCACAAACCTCATTTGATTTGTGTGAGGGCTGTGATACTGCCCAGGTGCCCAAACTGAAACAGGTAACTTTCTTAGGGGGCCACACCCGGAGCCTTCGACCTAAAGATCTAACCCACAAGGCAGTGGAGCATCGTAAGGAGATGCAGTCCCATGGTAGCCGGTGACCAACAATTGGTTCATACGCCATTTGTACCTTCAGGATACTGGAGCCCATGTACACCATTGGTTTGGAATCAGTGTTTCCCAACTCCCCTAGGTGGACTTTCTGTGTTCACCAACCCGGTTAAAGCGCCGGACATCCGCCTTTTGTCCTCTCAATTTCGTAAACAACACTGTGGCCACGAGAAGGCAGTGAGTAGGACTTCCCTGGTAGAAGCTATATATTTGCGTGTCCATGTGAGAGCATTTCGGGAGGGAGAGTTAACTCTCCCAAATCTCGGTCGTACCAGGGCATTTGGGGGACCCTGAAGGAACAAACGGCGTATGAACCAATTATTAGTCACCGGCTACCATGGTACTGCATCTCCTTACGATGCTCCACTGCCCTGTGGATCAGATCTCTGGGTGAAGCGCCCATGTTGTGGTCCCCATAAGAAGGTTACCTGCTTCATTTTGGTCACCTGGACCGTGTCCCAGCCCTCACACAAATCCTTTGATTTGTGTGACGCATATATATTTCATGCCTCCTTGTACCAATGTTTACGCTTAAATAAATGGAGGTAGTTTTATAGTTTATTCTTCTTGTGGATTCCTTTTGTAGTTTCCTAGCTCAAAATGAAAAGTAAGGTTTGGTCACAACAGGATTCTCACTTAAAGCACAAAATTTTGTTGGTTAAGATGCAAGATCTGACTGTTATTTGATAAACCTGACTCCCAGAAACAAATACTCTATCGTTAGTTATTTTTATATGGTAATTTGTAAGCAAAATTATTACACTGATTGTACTATTCATTTCTCAAGTAAATCATTCTGTTTGTTTTCGTTCTATTGCATAAACTGGATTATTCTCATTTTTGCATTATTTATATCTAAAACTGTTCATTATCACCAGCTGTTTTGTCTTGACAAAAAATTATTTCCAGTTATTCTCCGGAAAACATGTTTGATATTGCAATTGACGTTGGTCGTTATTCAGAATTTCTACCTTGGTGTAACCGATCAACTGTTTTGGAACAAGGTGAAGATAACATGCTAGCTTGTCTGGGTGTTGGATTTCCTCCACTTAGTGAATCATATATGTCTCGAATAACATTTCAGCGACCAAAGCACTTAAAGGTAAATGAATATTTATGTGTTAGTTTGTTGTTGTCTATGATTGAATATAAGAAATATAAAGTGTAGGGTGTTCGTTCCGAACAAAGATCGTTCAACTCAGAGGGCAGAGTTTAGATGGTTTAATTTGTTTATTCTAGTTATCGTTTTTCAGCACAGTTCTTTTGTACGGGATGGGTTTGCTGACTCCATCCCCGAACCTCCTTCTTTACTCGGGCTTGGGATTGGCAGTAACCCTAGAAGAGCCACTGGCTGTGGCTGACTGAATTATGAAGACCTCGACATCTGAGGGGAAGCACGAAATACAATGGGCAGCTCGGAAATCAATTATCAGATTTGGACTTTACAGATGACCTGGCCCTTCTATCCCATACACGCGAACAGATGCATATTAAGACAACTAGTGTAGCCACAGCTATTGCACCAGTAGGCCTTAACATATACAAAGGGAAAAGCAAGATCCTCAAATTCAACACGGAGAACACCAATTCAATCACACTTGATGGAGAAACTGGGAGAAGTGGAAACTTTCACGTACCTGACTGGTCAGCATCATTGATGAATAAGAAGGATCTGATGCAGATGTAAAGGCGAGGATTGGCAAAGCAAGGACAGCATTCCTGCAAGTGAAGAACATATGGAACTCAAAACAACTGGAAACCAATATCAAAGTGGGAATCTTCAAAACAAATGTCGAGACAGTTCTACTGTACGGAGCAGTTGTCTACACAAGATGCTGAGTGTCAGTTCGCGGGATACCATCAGCAACAGCCTACTGTGGGAGAGGACAATCCAGCTTCCAAATGAAGAGGAGATTAAAAAAAAGACGTTGGAAGTAGATAGGACATACATTACGGAAATCACCAAACTGCATCACGAAGCAAGCCCAAACTTGGAATCGTGAAGGGAAATGGAAAAGAGGAAAACCAAAGAACACATTGCCCTGAGAATTGGAAGTAGACATGAACAGAATGAATAGCGATTGGAAAGAACTGGAAAGGATTGCCCAGGACGGGGTTGGATGAGGAATTGTGGTGGGTGGCCTATGCTACTCCACGAGGGGTAACAGGCATAAGTAAGTAAGGGTGTCAGTTACTTTTTGTTGAATTGGTTTTGAAATAACATGTAATATCATGGAAAATATAAATAAAAGGTATTAAGGAATACAGTCTAGATAAGAACACTGCTAAATGGTATTTATTTTTGTTTCAAAAAGCATCTGTTTAGGAAACTAGAACAAGATTCCCACGAAGTTCTATTCTGAGCTGTCTGATATTGTCTCAAGCCCTTCGGTTGTACGGTCAATAGCACTTCATTAAGGTAGTCGTCAATATCAAACATATACTAGTGAAACTTAACTGTTCTTCATTCCAACAAGCCATGTCATACATTATTCACCTCCAGTTTTCTCATCCACTACTGGAGTTGATAAATAATACTTAAGATAGAGGTCACCAGGAAAAAATGAATTGGATGTATTCAAACCATCTGAACTTTCCAGGAAATATTTAACTTAGTACACATTCAGTGCTTACCTTAGAGTTGCGACACGTTTTGGGAATTTAGTCTATCTGCCACAGTATGGGCGTTACTACTCAGCTGTTGGAACTATGACCTAACCATCTAACATCTAAACATAATGTATGCAGTATGGAGTCACTTAGGCTGGTGGCAATATTACGATTTGGTCGATAGGATCTTAGCGACACTATGAAGAGCTATATATTCTTGATATTAGTCATTACCTAGCGATTATTCAATTGTGTGAATTCATTTTATCCTGTTCACTTAATCGTTCTGTAATGTATGCTACTTATGTTGACAGATATAAGTAGTATGTAATCGCAATCGAAAGTGGGATGCCTGCCAGCAGAAGATTGAATTGAGAACAGGAAGGAAAACAGCCCAACTGTAACAACGAGATTGAAAGAATCATGAGTCGTGTTAAAGACGACTGAAGAAAGGTGTGCAAATAACGTGTTTAATGTATGGTTTTTATATCCTGTTACAGCACTCTAGTTTTGCATCAAACAATACATTAGTTTTCCCCAACTCAGTTCTCATTCAGTACAGTCTTTGATTACTTTTAAAAATAATTTGAAATGTTTTTTACTACAATGAACGCATAGCGTATATCAACTACTTTTCTCCTTTTATTTATTTTCAAGTCTGTCGCACAAAATACTGGAATGTTTCATCATTTAATTAATGAATGGTATTTTCATCCAGGTCTCCCAGACAATCCGAATTCTTGTTATGTAGAGTTTTCCGTAAGTTGACCAGATTTGAAGTAATTATTGGTTTATTGATTTTCAGCAGTAGATGGTTTAATGACTGAATAATGTGTGTATCCTATGATCAGGATATTATATTTTCATGTTAGTATTTTTTTGCTAACCTTTTTTGTGTAAGTAAGTAACTTTTTATCTGGCTAGTACAGTTTAATTTCGGTGGAGTTTCGTTCTCCGAGGCGGAAGGTTTAATCGTGGGGCTTTCATTATTTTTCTGAAAATCAGCAGCACAAACTTCAGTTAGACGTCAGTCAGTCAGCTACAACGTAGGACCAGGCACATTTACGCATCGGTCCAAGTTGCCGTACCTCGTTAGCACAACAACATGAACACTGAATTCATATAAGTAGTTAATTTAGTGGTGGTAGTATATAAAGAAAGGTTGTATATAAGAATATAGTATAGGAAGGAAGACAGATATGAAGCAATTTTAATCTCAAGGTTTAAGGGAAGATAAAGAGTGTATACACCTACGCCATTGTGATCGATTCTCAGCCATGTCACTTAGAGTCTCTAACCATTGGTTATGATAGTCACGTGGACCCCAACCAAGTAGTCTGCATCTACCAACATGACTCAGACTAGAAGTTAGTGACTTCAAGTACTGATGTCACGTTTTGGTTTGGTCGCCCCTAACTCTTTTCCAACCATCCCCAAAACTATTCAGCATAGCGCGTCGTGGTAATCGGTGTTCAGGCATACGTAACACGTGGCCTAACGATCTCAGTCGATGAAGATTCATGACCTCTTCAACTGATTTACCATCATTCCCTAATACCCTATGTCTAACCTCACTATTACTTACCCGGTGATCCCAGCAGATGCGAGTAATATTTCTAAGACATCCGTGGTCAAATACTAGTAACTTACGAGTATCTTCTAATCGCTTCTCGGCTCTGTGAGCTAAGATCACGTGTAGTATCATGTGTAGTATTTGACCATCGTTGCTTTTACATTCGTTATCTTTTTAAATACATAAATAAAATAATAAAAGTTTTTTTCTTGTAAAATTCACTTTTTCTTTAGGTGGATTTCGAATTTCGTTCACCACTTTATTCAAAAATTGCTGGATTATTTTTTGATCAAGTTGTTACTGTTATGGTAAATGCTTTTATGAATCGTGCTCAAGTACTACATGGTAAACCATCCATTGCTTCTCAAAAGCCAAACATATTAATTTATAACAAATAATACTATAATTATTATATAGTTGTGATCATTTGTTCAATGTATAAGTGAACAGATTATTTTTTTGTAAAATATCGAATAAATACTTCATATTGTAGTTTCTATGTGAATAGTTTTCACTTTGTGTTACCCCAAAAAGATCGATTCTGTTGTTGTTGTTGTTTGTTGATACATTTATGAATGAAAAACAAAATGATAAAAAGAGGTACATTTTTCGGTTACATCCAGTAGGATTTTCCTTTCTGATATATAAAAGTACTGCTCTTTTGTATTTCAAGTGTCTTGCTGAAAACAAAATACCTCATGGATGACTAAAGAGATATACATATATCTCTTCACATATAAATATACTGGAGTTTGTTGTTATTTCTTGTTGCTGGGTGAAAAAAGTCTCATTCTCTTCCGTTTTTCCTTTTTTTTCCAACTTTTGTAATAGAATACAAAACAATATTCCAAAATTGATGTGCTTGCTATACTTTATTATTTCTAATTTTATTGTTGCTTGTATTAAGTCTTGAGCTAGTTACTAGTAATTGATGATACTTTATCGAATCATCTTTTCTTCTCCTTCTTTCTTCTTTATTTCTTTGATTTCATTTTTGTAATTAGCAAATAAATATACGGGAAAGTGTAGAATATTCTTTGTTTTTTTATTTTCTTCCTTTATGTTTGTTTAAATAATATAAATAATAATGATAATAATTGTTATTAGTTAGTAGTATAATTACTGTTCTGATTATTTATCTTGAGCCCCCAAATGCCCTGGTACTGCCGAGAGTGGGGAGAGTCCGCACTCCCTCTCGGAATGCTCTCACATGAACACGCGGATATATAGCCTCTGCCAGAGAAGTCCTACTCACTGCCTTCTTGTGGCGGGGGTGTTGTTTACGAAATTGAGAGGACGAAAGCGAATGTCCGGTGCTTTAACCGGATTGGTGGACACGGAGGGTCCACCTAGGGGAGTTGGAAAACCTTGATTCCAAACCAATGGTGTACATGGGCTCCAGTATCCTGAAGGTACAAATGGCGTGTGAACCAATTGTTGGTCACCGGCTACCATGGGACTGCATCTCCTTACGATGCTCCACTGTCTTGTGGGTTAGATCTTTAGGTCGAAGGCTCCGGGTGTGGCCCCCTAAGAAAGTTACCTGTTTCAGTTTGGGCACTTGGGCAGTATCACAGCCCTCACACATGTATCTGTTGCCCTCTTGTACCAATATTTATGTGTTTAATAAATAATAAATAAATAAAATACACACGCGTTGCATGTTTTCTAAAGATTTAGTATTTTATCGATGTTTTGCTGTTAAAATGATGGATAAACTTTGTCAGAATCTCAGATTGTTCCGTAGTGTATATGATGGATGAATATTAATTGCGGATCTCTTGTTAAGGTTATAAACGATATCATCAGTAAGCCTTTTAGCAGATAACCAGTTATCTAAAAAGGAGTTCATCAGTATGAAATAATTTTACATCTGTGGTATAATTCTTGAGTGTTTACTTCCCAACTTTACTCTCCCGATCATTCTTGGAATAGATTCCTGAGAATTTTTGGACCATTGAATTTGTACACCGATGTAATTAGATGTAGCAGATCTTCCTGTTTAGAATCTGACAGTGAATCAATTACTGATTGTTGATTAACTTTCAAACTCTAATGTCGATTTTATTTCGATAACCAACTGCACAGCAATCCATTCTGTATGACTATGTGCTTGTAAAACATACTCTATACAAGTAGAGGACGTGCATAGGTAGGCCTCAGCCCTTTGAACAGATGTGTCTTCGAATTAATGCTTGAATATTGTGATATGTCCGAGTGAGTTATGCCGAGGTCAGACGTGTGCTACTACGGAAAAATGGCACATCGGCTGATAAGAACTGTGAATCTTCATCAACCGAGATGGTTGCGACATGTATTATGTGAGCCCAACCACCGCTTACCTCGACGCACCATATTGATTGATGTTGAAAGGAAGCTAAAGGCTATCAAACTGAGTCTTGGCACCAGTTCATGCAGGAACTGGCTGTTCTGACCCGTGTTTGCAGATATAGATTATCTGGTGGGGTTCCGAGCAATCCTTGTTACCAACATTTGAAGATTGGTGAAATGGCTCAGAATCAGCCGCAATGGTGATTATGCATTTACTCTTTATCTTCTCCTAGATCCTGAGTTTCATGTTTTTCTTTGTACATTCTGTTCCGGGAATTCGTTGTTTACTTTAGAACCATATTCTCTATTTCTAATGTTTTTTTGCTATCACAGATACTGCTTCCATTGCTTTTTTGTTTATCTTCATAATTTCATCTCACTATGCTAATTTTGGCCAATGCACTTGTGTCCCAAGTTCTACGTTGTTTGTAACTGACTCACCTAAATTAAATGGATAAAGTTAGGCTACGTGTTACGTATGCCTGAACACCGATTACCACGACGCGCTATGCTGAATAGTTTTGGGGATGGTTGGAAAAGAGTTAGGGGCGACCAAACCAAAACGTGACATCAGTACTTGAAGTCACTAACTTCTAGTCTGAGTCATGTTGGTAGATGCAGACTACTTGGTTGGGGTCCACGTGACTATCATAACCAATGGTTAGAGACTCTAAGTGACATGGCTGAGAATCGATCACAATGGCGTAGGTGTATACACTCTTTATCTTCCCTTAAACCTTGAGATTAAAATTGCTTCATATCTGTCTTCCTTCCTATACTATATTCTTATATACAACCTTTCTTTATATACTACCACCACTAAATTAACTACTTATATGAATTCAGTGTTCATGTTGTTGTGCTAACGAGGTACGGCAACTTGGACCGATGCGTAAATGTGCCTGGTCCTACGTTGTAGCTAACTGACTGACTGATGTGAATAACTCCATTCAGATTCCTAAGTATGTTTCTGGATGTATTGAAGCATTGTTTTCATCGACTTTCTCTTACCGTTAGTTCAACTATATAGTGGATAGAGCACATTGTTAACGTGATTGGTAAGACGATGATGAATTTTAAAACCGTTGGTTATTCGTCATTGCTATGAGAAGTGTAAACTGCTAGGTTAGCTGACGACACTTGGAATTTCACGATCAGGATTAAATAAATATGATACTAATATGTCTGCTAATCCAACGCTTGATAATGACCTCCTGTTGGTTTCCAAGATCCCCGGAATCCTACATTTGGGCTCCGAACGGTGGGAAAAGGTCTGTAGTAAGAATAAAATTTTATTTTAACTTTGGTTAATGTCCAGAAAAGAGCAGTATTTATAAGTTTACTGATAACCAACCTCTGTAAACGTTTTGAAACACGCTAAATCGAGCAACAGAATAGGTAATCGTCTAATTAGAGTGTAACGCACATTCCTTTGGTTTTCTAGATGTTGTTCAGAGGGTTCCCAATGGATACAGTTTGGGCTACTGCGGAATTCTCGAGAGGTCCTAACAGATATATTACTACTCAGTGACCAATCAGATTTTAATATCTTAGTGACTTGAGTAGATCAATGGTAGAATCTCTGACCGTGTTACGTATATTATTACTTCGAATCCCATGACAATTATCAGTTCTGATAAGATTTCGAATATGTCTTACTAGTGTTATGAAACCTTAATCAATCAGGTCTTTTTGTTAATCTCTTCAAAGCAATTTAGATTCAAAAGATCAAATTTGATCACCGCCGGATTCCATCAACTATAATTAAACTTCTTAGTGCTACTTAAGTTTTAATGATTTTTGACGTTTAGTTAAAACTATACACATATCTTCAGAAAACTAGCTTGATAATTCGTAGTCTTATACTTAATAATGAAATATTGAATTCTAGATGGACTTCTCAAAGTTATAGTATGAAATCGTGATCTGTTGAGACAGTCTCACATAGATTCAGGTAATAACTCACTGATGACATTACATAAGGATCAAATTTTATTGACTGAAGTTAAAATTGTGGACCACTGTATTCCTATTCACCGGTATAAACGTGTTCAGTTTTTTATAAATCTTGAAAGCACTGTATTCGATCTTGAGTAAGATCATAACTGCATACTATTGGGAAGTGCCAAAGTAACGCGAAAAAATACTGTCCAGTGAGAATCATCTTCCGACTAGTTAAGTGTTTTACAGCTATCTCCTCGTCTTATATTCCCGCTTATTTTTTTATTATCATATCAGTTAACAAAGATTGTTTCCATTATATTCCATTTCTTATCTAGATATCAATGAATTCAAATCTATGCGTGTTAACACAAAAAATTGGACGTCTTCTACTTATTGGTTTAAATAGACCAGAGAAAGGTAATTTAATCAATCAAACAACTGCTTCAATGTTAAATGATATATTCTATAATCAATTTGATAAAGATGATAATATTATTGGAGGTGTATTATATGGTGAAGGAAAAGATTTTTGTTTGGGTTTGGATATAGAAGAATTAACAAATTATATAAAAGAAAATCCAACATGTGATAATACATCATTGAATAGATTGTATTCATGTTTATCTACAGTACGTTGTATCTATTAGATTCATGTTTATGTATGCTTGTTTTCTTATTCCTATTTTGATTATCAATCTTTGTGAGAAGTTAAAACTGAATTATAAATTAACGTTTTTGTGCTTGCAATGAGCAATTCTTGGAACGGAAACAGATTATACAATTTGAAAGTAACTGGGTTCTCAGGCAATCACTCTGGCCGAAGTTGATTGAATGAAATTATTGATGTTGATAGGACTCATATAGAATGTTAACCCTTGAATCTGTATATATGTTAAATGAAAATTTAAGATCTGTGATCAGAATAAATATAGGTCAGATAGCGTTAGAGAGATATAAAAGTGCAATTACAATTCGATCAAATGTTTAGTAGAAAAGTGCCCCCAAATGACATGGAACGGCCGAGAGTGGCATGAGTCAGCCCTCCCCCTCGAAATGCTCACACATGGCCTCGTGTATATAGCCCATGCCAGGGAAGTCCTACTCACTGTCTTTTCGTGGACACGGTGTTGTTAACGAAATTGAGAGGGCGAAAAGCGAATGTCCGGTGCTCTAACTGCGTTGGTGAAAATGGAATGTCCACCTAGGGAAGTTGGAAAACACTTATTCCAAACCAAAGGTGCACATGGGCTCCAGTATCCTGAGGGAACAAATGGCGTATAAATCAATCGTTGGTCACAAGCTACCATGGGACTGCATCTCCTTACAATGCTTCACTGCCTTGTGGACTAGACCTTTAGGTCAAAGGTTAGGAGTGTGGCTCCCTAAGAAAACCACGTGTTTCGGTCTGGGCACCTGGGCAGTATCCAAGCGCTTAGACAAATCAAATGGGATTTGTGCAACGCATATGTATCTGGTGCTTCCTTCTACCAATCTTTATGTGTTTAAATAAAAAAAAAGTTTTAGTGGAAGACTAAATTGTGCGAAAAATGAGTAAGACTTAGTAAGGAGAAATGAATGCGAAGTGAATGAATCATATATAGGGAAGAATAATAGTACTAAAAATAATAATAATAATAATAACATAAAGATTTGTGAAAAAAATAAAAGAAACAATTACTATTGACTTCGATAGCTCGTAAGTACAATAGTCAAATTACGTCATCCAATAGCTATGATTACTATCGATTAATTGGTCTTGTGGTTGGCCAGCGGAAAAGCAGTGGTTCGAGATATTTCTTCTGTACACGTAGCTCCGGTTCCTTCATCGTGATGGATAATGCCTCAGCCATTTGAAAGACTTTAAGCCTGACAAGCTTTGGCGAAAAATTACTGACCCTATAAATAATTGTAAAAGATTGGTTTATACTGGCACTACGACCAGTTTGCATTAAATGGGCCAATATCGAGCTGTTTACTTTCATCACCAAACCTCTGTTTAGCCACACTGAGAGATGTTGGCGAGCATGAAAATGTAAATTCCTAGAACTTCCACCAATATATAACTTGCTCCACAGAAGCAGTCGAACTGATAAATAAAAAATGAGGTGGTCATTCTAGGTAATTAATTCATCTTTTAGCCTCGGTGTCACCATTGAGTACGTAGAAAACACTAAACGTAGTTCACCGGCGTTGAAAGATTTTTGGATTGTTCTGCGTAATCTCTGAGTTAGTATTTCACTAGCCGCATCCCCTCTGAATTGTAGGCGCATGAACAGGGATTTCTTCTTGACCATTGGAATTTAACCTATTTTCACTTTCGTGATCATATATTTAATTATAAACTTTCTAGGGTAACCGTTCTCTTTAAGAGCATTATGCAAGGTGTATAGCTCATCTTCAACCACATCCGCAGAACATATAGTGCGTGTTCGGTAACTAAGGGTTTTGATCAAGTTTCGTTTGTACTTAGAGGTACAAAGCTAAGAAAAGGCGTATACTGTCCAGTCAGACTATTTTTTTTGTTAAGGTTTCTTTTTAACGATCCGTCCGCTCTCTTAGTTAAGTGAACATCCAAAAAGGCTATTCGACCATCACTCTCTTCTCCCGATGTAAACTGAATGGATGGATGCACTTCGTTAAACTGCCTGAGAACGTCTTGCTGTGATATATTATCTTTACACAGGATGAATGTGTCATCCATATATCTACAGTAAAATGTGAATTTTTGAATAATCTTTTTTAGTGGACCATTTTCTAGATTGGCTATAAAAATATCAGCTAGTATAGGGCCCAGAGATGAACCCATTGAAACACCATCCGTTTGTCTAAATATTTCTCGGTTGAACTTGAAATTCACATTCATGGTGCGTTTTGGTAATTACTCTTTCACCACATTAATAGAAACTGTAGTTTCAATTTCATTTTCAATCAGTTGTTCACATATATATTCCACGATCTCTATGAGTGGGATATTTGTGAATATTGATGTTACATCCAAAGACATCATCTTTAATCCCAAAGTATTAGCACTTTTGATTTTATCAACTAATTGCAATACATCCTTAACACTACGTTTTACAAGCTTTTCGTGGAGAGGTTTCAATATAGTTTCAACCATTTAGCTATAGTATGACAAGGAGAGTTATACATATCTAAAATTGATCGTAATGGGATCCTAGGTTTGTGTACCTTTGGCAATCCATACAACCTTGGCAATCCTTGTGCTTTTTTGTAAGAATGCTTTTGTAATTAAATTTATTGTTCTTATGCTGGTAGCAACAGTCTACAAGAGTAGATTTAAAATGTTCCAGTTGTTGATCAGAATTTGCCACTAAATCACGTGTCTGACTACATAGATTCTCAAACTGTATATCTGTATCAATGTGGTTACAATTATTACGAGTACCACAAAACTTTAGACCTAGGGATAATACCTCTATCTTATCTTTATTCAGTTCAACATCCGAGAAATTATGCACATACCTTTTACAGTCGGTTAGAAATTTGCTTTCGGCTGTTTGATTTTCCAGACCTTTCAGTAGTTGAATGAGTTTCTTCCCTGATCTCTGATCCATTACATTCGTAACATAGTCCATGAAAGGTATTTTTAAATCATCCGTTAAGTCATCCACTGCATACTTTCTGCGAAAAACATTCATCTGTATCTCATTTATGTCAGAATGCAGGGCGTCAATCTGATTTAGGGCGTGGCGTTTCAGTGTCTTTCTATTGAGGTAGACACTGTTTCGTCGCAGTAATGTATAGTATAATTTAGGATAGTGACCTGACACGATGCACCTGTTGATAAATTCAATTGTAGTTTTCGTTTCGGTGAACTTCATGTTATGCTATGGGAACTCATTGAGCACCATCAACGCAATGAGTTGTTCACAACATTTTAATGGTTTTAATATGATGGTGAACCCCATTTAAAACGAAAACTACAATTGAATTTATCAACAGGTGCATCGAGTCAGGTCACTATCCTAAATTATACTATACATTACTGCGACGAAACAGTGTCTACCTCAATAGAAAGACACTGAAACGCCACGCCCTAAATCAGATTGACGCCCTGCATTCTGACATAAATGAGATACAGATGAATGTTTTTCGCAGAAAGTATGCAGTGGATGACTTAACGGATGATTTAAAAATACCTTTCATGGACTATGTTACGAATGTAATGGATCAGAGATCAGGGAAGAAACTCATTCAACTACTGAAAGGTCTGGAAAATCAAACAGCCGAAAGCAAATTTCTAACCGACTGTAAAAGGTATGTGCATAATTTCTCGGATGTTGAACTGAATAAAGATAAGATAGAGGTATTATCCCTAGGTCTAAAGTTTTGTGGTACTCGTAATAATTGTAACCACATTGATACAGATATACAGTTTGAGAATCTATGTAGTCAGACACGTGATTTAGTGGCAAATTCTGATCAACAACTGGAACATTTTAAATCTACTCTTGTAGACTGTTGCTACCAGCATAAGAACAATAAATTTAATTACAAAAGCATTCTTACAAAAAAGCACAAGGATGCTATTAACCTGCTCCTAACGGATGAGACGTTATTGATTACGAAACTTGACAAAGGTTCAGGAGTGGTTCTTCTTAATAAAAACGATTATATTGATAAAATGAGTACCATCTTAAATGACAAATTAAAATTTCAAAAAATAACTAACCAGAAAGATCTCAATATTAAGATAGAGAAGGAGCATACCAGATCAATGAAGAAGCTCATGTTATATCGATTGTGTGCGTGCCCTGTTTAGTATATAACGTGATGATTCCCACCAATCAGAGAGGAGTGAATTGTCGATCAGAGCAATGATACACAAAAGCCGTATGAGCAGTCTTGAGTACTTATCAGTCCTGCTTCTGCCTAGCCCAGCCAGTTAAGTCCAGAACACCAATAACAGCCTGTGCAATATAAATCATTATTCACAAACATACTGGGTTTATATACCAAACAAACTGACCACATCGTACCATAAAATATAAAATAACATTTGCACAAGATTTAGCCAAATGTGGCTGTGAATACGGGGAACAGTAATTAATAAACTAGGGATAACTCAAGAATGGCAAATCGTATAATAATAGTCTATAGGTCAAAATAAAGCTTATAATAAGAGGGACACGAATGTGAATAGTTTAGTTACTTAACAGTTATACAATAGGAAATATACATATCATATTGGTCCATAAATAGTTCTCACAGTTACCATTCATAAATCTCCACAGGATATAACAGCTCAGGGACAAACAGACTATTTAGTCGTGTTTATATGAAATGATTAAACCAGTGAGAACTTATCTGCCAAGGTTGTATGGATTGCCAAAGGTACACAAACCTAGGATCCCATTACGATCAATTTTAGATATGTATAACTCTCCTTGTCATACTATAGCTAAATGGTTGAAACTATATTGAAACCTCTCCACGAAAAGCTTGTAAAACGTAGTGTTAAGGATGTATTGCAATTAGTTGATAAAATCAAAAGTGCTAATACTTTGGGATTAAAGATGATGTCTTTGGATGTAACATCAATATTCACAAATATCCCACTCATAGAGATCGTGGAATATATATGTGAACAACTGATTGAAAATGAAATTGAAACTACAGTTTCTATTAATGTGGTGAAAGAGTAATTACCAAAACGCACCATGAATGTGAATTTCAAGTTCAACCGAGAAATATTTAGACAAACGGATGGTGTTTCAATGGGTTCATCTCTGGGCCCTATACTAGCTGATATTTTTATAGCCAATCTAGAAAATGGTCCACTAAAAAAGATTATTCAAAAATTCACATTTTACTGTAGATATATGGATGACACATTCATCCTGTGTAAAGATAATATATCACAGCAAGACGTTCTCAGGCAGTTTAACGAAGTGCATCCATCCATTCAGTTTACATCGGGAGAAGAGAGTGATGGTCGAATAGCCTTTTTGGATGTTCACTTAACTAAGAGAGCGGACGGATCGTTAAAAAGAAACCTTAACAAAAAAAATAGTCTGACTGGACAGTATACGCCTTTTCTTAGCTTTGTACCTCTAAGTACAAACGAAACTTGATCAAAACCCTTAGTTACCGAACACGCACTATATGTTCTGCGGATGTGGTTGAAGATGAGCTATACACCTTGCATAATGCTCTTAAAGAGAACGGTTACCCTAGAAAGTTTATAATTAAATATATGATCACGAAAGTGAAAATAGGTTAAATTCCAATGGTCAAGAAGAAATCCCTGTTCATGCGCCTACAATTCAGAGGGGATGCGGCTAGTGAAATACTAACTCAGAGATTACGCAGAACAATCCAAAAATCTTTCAACGCCGGTGAACTACGTTTAGTGTTTTCTACGTACTCAATGGTGACACCGAGGCTAAAAGATGAATTAATTACCTAGAATGACCACCTCATTTTTTATTTATCAGTTCGACTGCTTCTGTGGAGCAAGTTATATATTGGTGGAAGTTCTAGGAATTTACATTTTCATGCTCGCCAACATCTCTCAGTGTGGCTAAACAGAGGTTTGGTGATGAAAGTAAACAGCTCGATATTGGCCCATTTAATGCAAACTGGTCGTAGTGCCAGTATAAACCAATCTTTTACAATTATTTATAGGGTCAGTAATTTTTCGCCAAAGCTTGTCAGGCTTGCCCCCAAATGCCCTGGTACGTCCGAGAGTGGGAAGAGTCACCTCTCCCTCTCGAAATGCTCTCATTTTATTTATTTATTTATTTAAACACATATATATTGGTACAAAAGTGCACCAGGTACATATGCGCCGCACAAAATAATGAAAGTAGGAAGGGAAAGGATGAAAAGATAAGGCGGACTGAAATGTACAACCAGAAGACTCTTTCAGTTGGGAAAGTTAGAACCATTCTTTATGTAGAAAGTAAAAGAAGGTTGCAGCAGGATCGCCACTGGCTTCTATTCTGAGCCATATCTGATAACGTCTCTAGCCACTGTGTTGCACCATCTCTCGGACCCCAACCAAGGAGTCGTGAAGGACCAACAGAAGCTAGCCCTTTGCAGCTCTCTTTCATGCCACGACACCATGTCATACACTGACCTCCTCTCCGCTTTTTCCAACCAGTCCCAGAGTCGGCAAATAATGCACGACGTGGAAGTCTCTGGGACGACATTCGTAAAACATGTCCAAGCCACCGAAGTGGGTGTTTCAAGATGGTGACATCAATTGAATTATCGTCTCTGTGCCCGAACACACGATGCCGAACCTCTGCATTACTAACATGGTGTTGCCACTGGATGTCAGCAATCCTTCGGAGACAACGATGATCGAACACAGAGAGACGTCTAACATCCTCAACTCGGAGAGGCCAGGTTTCACAAGCATAGAGCAAAACTGCTCTCACCGACGCGTTGTAGATCCGACCTTTTACAGCCAGACTAACATCACAAAGGTGCCAAAGATGGCCCAGATTGGCATAAATGCTCTCATGTGGCCAGCGAATATATAGCCTCTGCCAGGGAAGTCCTACTCACTGCCTTCTCGTGGCACCACTGTTGTTTACGAAAGTGAGAGGACGAAAAGCGAATGTCCGGCGCTTCAACCGGGTTGGTGGACATGGAAAGTTTCTCTACGGGAGTTGGAAAACGCTTACTCCAAACCAGTGGTGCACATGGGCTCCAGTATCCTGAGGGAATAAATGGCGTACGAATCAACCGTTGATCACCGGCTACCATGGGACTGCATCTCCTCACGATGCTCCACTGCCTTGTGGATTAGACATTCAGGTCAAAGGCTCCGGGTGTGGCCCCCTAATAAAACCACCTGCTTCAGTCTGAGCACCTGGGCAGTATCTCAGCCCTCACACAAATCGAATGAGATTTGTGAGGCGCATATTTATCTGGTGCTTTTTTGTACCCATATTTATGTGTTTAAATAAATAATAAATAAATTGTCAGGCTTAAAGTCTTTCAAATGGCTGAGGCATTATCTATCACGATGGAGGAACCGAAGCTACGTGTACAGAAGAAATATCTCTAACCACCGCTGGCCAACCACAAGACCAATTAATCGATAGTAATCATAGATATTGGATGATCTAATTTGACCCTCAGGTCTAACCCATAAGTCAGAGGAGAAACGTAAGGAGATGCAGTTCTATGGTTTCTGGTGACCATTAATTGGTGTATATGTCATTTGTTTGCTTAGGATCCTGGAGCTCATGTACACCATTTGTTTGGAATTAGGGTTTTCCAACTCCTCCACAGGGATCCTCCATATCCACTGACCTGGTTTAATCGACGGACATTCGCTTCTTGTCCTCTGAATTTTGTAATTAACACCCTTACAGCAAAAAGGTAGTGAATAGGACTTCCCTGACAGTGGCTGTATACTCGTGGCCATGTGAGAGCATTTAGAGAGAGAGAGAGAGTTGATTCTCCCCACTGTCTGCTGTACCAGGGCGTTTAGAGGCCAATATATTATTACTGAATTATTATTGAATTGTTAAAACAGTATTTTCTAATCATTAATTTACAAGTTTGAAATACCATTCCATTTACTATGTGATATAGAACAGAATCAGTTACTTCATCATTCAAATTTATACACTACTAATGATTGCTAACCAACAAGATAAATATAGACAAAGTGAAACAGTTGTTTAATACTATCTACCTATTAAATGGTGGTTGGAGGTGGTCAACAGAAAACCCTGGACCCGGGTTTCGTGCTATTTGGCACTCTTCAGCAAGGTGTACCTGTAATCTTGGGGGAACTGGTGCTTCCTAACGGATTCGATCCCGTGTCACTGAGCTTCACAGTCAGAGACGTTACCACTGAGCTATTCGGGCTGTGACCGACCTCCTGTAGGACTGAGATGTAATCATAATTGATTGATCACTGGGTGGTGTTCAATGTCATGCATGTCAAGTCCGTCTTTAGGGCTGATCGAATGCTTTCGATCAAGTTACAATGTGGCCACTAGTCTAGGTGGCTACCTACCTATCCTCATAAAACGTCTAAATGAAATTACAGCTTCACAGTTAAATATATTCTATTGCTTTAAATAACGAATAGATTATCCAATTGTACTGTGGTAAACGAGAACTAATATGAAGAACACCAATTTATTGTTTTATGCGAAATTCCAGTGTTTTCGTAAAATATGAAAATCATACATTAAACACATTATTTGCATATCTTTCATCAGTTGTCCTTTACGTGCTCCTTGATTCTTTCAGTTATGTTGTTACTAAAATTACATTTCTATTCTCTTCAATGAAATCTCCATCTCCGGCAAGCATTCTACTTCCGATTGGTGTTATATACTACTTATATCTGTCAACATAAGTATCATACACCATAGTACTTCATTTTACCGTTAGTATTTTTGTTGTTGTTGATCTTTCTACATGTTCATTTGTCATATGTTTGTTTGATATATATCATGGATGTTGAAATGGTAGAAATTTATTCCTCATTTGGATAGTTTTGGTAATACTTCATTCTCTAAACTGAATAGTTTAATTACAAAGTTTTCATTGTCATTCTGAACATCATCAACACTTACTTTAATTAGAAGTCTAATTGTCTAGAACGAATATCAAAGATAGCACAGTTATACATTTACATTTGAAAAATATTTTGTTTATTGTAATCTACTTTTCTCTAGGATTCTACTAAATTGACATTTTCAAAGCCACTTATTGCAGCAATTACTGGAAAGGCTATCGGTGCTGGTTTAGAACTTGCATTAGCATGTGATCTACGTATTGCTGAAATTGATTCCATATTGAGTTTACATAAGCGGAAACATTGTAAGTTGTTTTAGTTGATACTATTCATAATTTAATTTAATTAGTCTTTTACTAAGTAGTTAATTAGTTTATTTATTTATTCGCATATCTCCTGAACTTTTCCTATTAAAATGTCTAACAAGTACTTATTAAGATCTTTTGTGGTTTATTTAGGGTATTTAAAGATTTGATACAGTCCCATGGTAGCCGGTGACCAATAATTAGTTCATACGCCATTTGTTCCCTCAGGATACTAGAGCCCATGTACGCGATTGGTTTTAAATCAAGGTTTTCCAACTACCCTAGGTGGACTCGCTGTGTCCACCAACCCGGTCAAAGCGCCGGATATTTGCTTTTCATCCTCTCAATTTCGTAAACAACATGGCCGCCACGAGAAGACTACTACTGCTTTAAAATTCCTGATAAACTATCTTGTTGTCAGTTTTGAAGCAAATTAAAATGTCTTGATTTATAAATGATAACATATTCCTAATACCCCATGGTTATTTAGAAGGCAGTTAACAAAGATGCATATATGTAACCCCTATAGGAAAAAGTAGTTTGATCGTTTACAATCTGTTTGAATTATAAATGACTGACAAATATCTGGAATTTATTATAAACTTATACCATCCCATTAATTTTATGATAAAAATTGTTTCAACATTCAAAACACAGGTATACCAATGATGAATATGGGTACAGTACGTTTACCACGATTGATAGGTTTATCTCGTGCTCTTGATATGATACTAACAGGACGTGAATTGCATGCTAACGAAGCTTTGGAATTTGGATTAGTTAATCGTGTTACTCCAACTGGAACTGGTAAGTTCTACTTTTAACTAATTTACTTGCTACTAGAAAGCTTATGAAAGATAGTTATTGTTAGAGACTCTTTAAGAATATAAATGTATGAAACTTTTAATAATAACTGTTTATTGTAAGCAAAGATGGATAGTGGCTAGCAGTGGAATCCAGGACGCATGTTTCGTCGTATTTGAGACTCGTCAGCTGGATGTACTTGCATCTCAGAGTTGATGTTCACTCTCGGAATCGAACCCAGTACCTTTAGCTTCAAACGCCATCGCGTTATCCACTCGGTCACTGAGTCCTGATATCCACTTGCTTGTGCGACGAGTCCCAAATAGGACGAAACGCGCGTCCTGGATGCCACTGCTAGCCACTGTCCATCTTTGCTTATAATGTTTGTGAATTAAGACTATATCGAGGCAATACGCACAGTATGCACATATGCCAAAAAGAGAGTGATCGGTTGCAGTCCTAACACATCGATGGGAAGATTCAAACAAACAATACTAAATGAAAATAACTGGTTATGTTTTTCTGTGAAATCCCTTACATTTTTTGCTCGTTTTTTTAAATGTAAAAATCAACCTACTTCTAAGTAGTGTAAATTTATTCACAAATTTATTCAGTCATAGATGCCCAAATGAGTCTCTGTAATATCAGCGAGTGAATTAAAAACAACAATATCAACTTCAAAAGCATTATGACATAAATCTTATTCACATATCTCAAATATTACATTGATTTTCAGTTTTTAGAGTTATAGAGCATTCATTCTGAGTCATAGTTGATAGGTAACTAAATCTGAATAGGACAATTAATCGTATTAAGTTAGAGTATTGTATAAAATTGCAATTTACTACCATACATCATAACACCACCAATTCAAAAATGAGAGAGACAGCAAACTGAACAGAAATTATAATAATGAAATGAAAAATAATAATCTGAGGCTATCGTTGTTAGATTCATTAGTCAGTCTAGGCTAGACCACCATGGAAAGCTCTGAAGCACTAGGCAACCGTCTTGTCCCAGTTTGGGATTCCTCAGCAGTGCTCATCCACGAGCCCGCATGCAGGACTTGAACTCAATCTCTTTGATCTCTTGTGAGGACATCTAACCTCTAGACAACGTAGCCGGCACCCAACAGTGTTAATGTTTAACTCCAATCGATCAGTTATGTTGCACTATCTTTTATCCACTGTCCGAAACGGATTATACTACACTGGTCATAACTTTCCACTAGAACTCTAGGAAATCCATTTTGAAGCTAGTCACTAGTGAGTACATGATAATCATCAGAATGAGGATTTGTAGAGATTGATAATAATTTTAATAGTTGAATTCATGAGTCAAAATAAGCTAGACCATCATTGAGGACCTGGAATCACTGCACTGTCGTTTTTTCCTATTATGGGACTCCTCAACAGTTCCCATTCGTCCGAAATTATTAACATTCTGACTAGATGAATTAACTAGTAATTACTTTTCATCAATTTGTTTGCCTATTTTCACTGTTTCATCATATTGAGAATTATCAAATTTATCATTTTAATATGAATCGTTTTTCTTCATAGTTTAACAACACATTGTTAGTTATCAGAAGGGGGTTTTGTGGAGTTTTTAGTAATTTTATATGGTTGAGATCATGAGTCAATTGAAGATAGACCACCATGGAAAACTTGCAAGCACTGGACAGCCGTTTCGTCCTTTTGTGGGACTCCTCAGCAGTGCGCATCCACGATCCCACCTCACGAGATTCGAACCCAGGATCTACCAGTCTCGCGCCAGAGCATTTAACCGATAGACCACTGAGCCGGTCGTGAGCTGGGATCGTGGATGCGCACTGCTGAGGAGTCCCACAAAAGGACGAAACGGCTGTTCAGTGCTTCCAGGTTTTCCATGATGGTCTAGCTTCAATTGACTCATTATCTCAACTATATAACATTGTTAGTTGTTTATCTATTCTTTAAAATGTAATGACGTATCGTTTTTATTCAAAGCTTACTTTATTCTTTTCTCCCTCCTCTTCTGTTGTTACTGTTATTGTTATGTTGATTGTCTCTTTTTGTATAGTTTTGGTAATTGTGGGGGAGCACAGGCCGTCTACGAGCATTCTCTATCCAACTCTTTCCTGGACAATCTTTTCCAGTTCTTTCCAGTTAACATTCATGCTTTTCATATCTGCTTCTATTTCCCGACGTAATGTGTTCTTTAGCCTTCCTCTTCTCCTCTTCCCTTCCGGATTCCAAGTTAGGGATTGCCTCGTGATGCAGTTTGGTGATTCCCATAATGTATGTCCAATCCACTTCCAACGTCTTTTCCTAATTTCCTCTTCAGCTTGAAGCTGGTTTGTCCTCTCCCATAAAACGGTGTTGCTGATAGTATCTGACCAGTAAATGTTGAGTATTTTGCGTAAACAACTGTTTATAAATACTTGTACCTTCCTGATGATGGTTGTAGTAGTTCTCCACGTTTCAGCTCCGTACAGTAGAACTGACTGTCTTGACGTTCATATTGAAGATTCTCACTTTGAAGTTAGTTGACAGGTTTTCTGTGTTTCATATGTTCTTCAATTGCAGAAATACTGCCCTTGCTTTGCCAATCCTCGCATTTATATACTTATACTTACTCTTATTTTCACACTGTACAGAAAATTTACATTGTTCAAAAGTGCTCATAGGAAGATAATGGTATGTTATGTCTTTCATAAAAGATGAGAGTTACATTACAGTGTCAAGTTTAGAAACACATAATATATTTTCAGTAACTATATGCTGGTGTACAATGAATCCTTCAGTAAAATTATTCTTTTCTCCGTCAACTATTAAAATCATAGTGATTATCTCTCAATTAATTAAAGAACAGCTGGTCAATCATAGCTTCTGTTTACTGTAGTTAACAATTCAATTGAGAATGCTTATGAAGGTCAAGGAATCTAGATTTCTTCCTGTTGTTGGATGATTACTTGTGTTTATATTTAAATTTTTATCTTCCATTATGTTGTTAATACTAGGTGGTTAACAACACTCGTTAGCAGGGTGTATCAAAGAATTTTAATAGAAGTGATACGCCTCAATCAAATGCATTGATAGAATGCTACCCAGAGATAATGGCTCATAACTAAATATCCCACTGCTGAACAAATTATCAATGGGAAATTATTTTTTTCATCTGTGAACAAACTATAGAAGAGAATTCTACTAGTTTGAACTAGGAATTATAACCTGTGCTGTGTTAGCACTGATAATATTGAGTAAAAACCCATACTATACCATCAAATATTGGGGACTGAATTCTGACTGATTGGATCAGAGATATTGAAACCAGTCCTAGGTTGAATTCCTTGTAATATTGAGGATGGGCAATACCGATGAACACTAAGCAGGAAAGAAACGGTTCGATTGATCCTTTATTTAATGTTATGTTTCAACTAATTATGTCCATAATCAATATCAAAAACGATTTGTCTTCTTTTTGTTAAAAAAAAACGCTACATGTATGATACTAATGGAGTTTAATGCACTGAGAGAAAGGTAATACAAAATGTAGTTTACTCTGTTGGCAATGATAAATTGAGAATGGTTTTCCCCTGAACGCATTAGTTAGGTTTGAATTTCTATGATAATAACTACATTCATAAAACGTAGCAACTGAATTTGTGTATACCTTGCATGCTTGACCAATCATCTTAACTGATTTTGCCCGAGTAATAAATGGTCACAAATTGGGATTCATTGATCAAATATCTCTCTATAAACGGATATCTAAAAGTAGAATAACTTGTCAATAAACATGAGTTATTGTACATACCCAAATGATATACTTATATACAGATTATTTAACACAGAAATATATGGTTAGCGATCACTTAAAACTTAAACTGGATTCATATTTGATAGATCATCTACGAACGCATATACTTGGCTCATTCATTGTTCATTATAGCAGTCGAACACTTACAAGGTAGTTGCTGTTGCGTAAATATCAAGGTATTAAAGGCTTTAGAGCTTTTAAATCGGAGATTCTTCGAAACATAATGACCATGATTATCCATCAATTTTATTCGACCACCTAACTTCTCAGCATAGTGCACTACATGTCAAATCAATTAAACCATTGGTCAAATTGCAACTTGACCGATAGAATTCGATTTGCACTAAAGTACTTTACAAACATGAGATTGATCACTACTGTAATTAATCAATTATAAATATCTCAGGCCTATAGAAGGTCAGTCATGACTTCAGTTGCTCTGCGGTAACATCTCAGATTATGAAGTTAGTTAACATGGGTTTCAATCTACCAGCGAGAAAAGGTTCCCCCAAGATTGTGAGTGCCTAGTAGTACGGAGCCCTAGGTTCACGGTTTCTTGTTGACTGCATCTATCCACCTAACATTCTGAACATACTTGTTATTTCGAATTACACAAAGCAATTTGTATGTTTATGTCAAAGTAAATACGCTGAAAGATCAAACAGAAAGATAATCCTATGCTAATCACTCATTGGGAATACACGATTAATAATTGGTTTGCCAAGATTACTTAGTAAAATATGAAAATCCTGCACCGAATACATCATTCGCACATCTTTGCTCTGTCTTTTACATATTCCATTGTCCCTCTAATTCTATTGTTATTTTGATTGCTCTGCAATTTCCTTATTCTGTTCATTTCAATCTTCTGCTTCCAGGCAGTCCACTTCTGATTGGTGCTCCATACTATTTATACTTATATTTACATCCGATGTCCGCTCAGTACCGGTTACGTCCCACGTCCTCCCCTCACCGACAGCAACTACTACGCCCAACACCGCCTTGCCAGAACACTTCGCTCGACGTCTCTCTGCGTCAGACCCCCCAAATAGGTACCTTTCTTTCGGCCCCGTAACGTTGTCCGCAGAAGTGCACCCACTCCTCCTCTCTGGCAGAGACATGTAGTTTTAGAGCAGACAAAATTTCGTGATAAAAAGTCTAACATAAGTTATGTAAGAATAAAGAAATAAATGTTGAAATTA